ATACTGAAGTGCAGATAATTGCCACTATTTGCAACAAGTAGTATACTTGATAGTAGAAATCCTGCTATTTTAACATAGTGTAAATAGGTATTTGCACTTAGTGTAAATGGCATATTGCTAAAAATACTGCTATTTTCACTTAGTGTAAATAGAATCCATTGCTAATACGAGATTTGAAAAGTGAGGAAAAAAAAGTTCGGCAAAAGACGGGATCGAATCCGGGTCGATCACGTCAAACAGCCAGCGACTCGCGCTTATCTATCTGCGCCACTGGAGCTGATGTTTTTCAGCCACTTTTAACTAAATGTAAATAGACACCCCGTATTTTTTATTCCATAGTAAGGGCAATTCATACAATACATTTAAACTGAGCTACTTTAATACCATCTCCGAACTTTCTACCACGACACTGCTGTTCTTCGGCTGGTTCTTCCCTGTATACGTTGATTGACAGATGTCTCGTCCAGTCAGCGGGGAGTAATCCCAAACCAATGGCGCTGTCTCAAACTATACCTACCTCTTCCGGTTTGTCTGATTTGTCGTTGTGTTTTCTGATTTGTTAATTTGTTTTCGGATTTGTCGTTTTGTTTTCTGATTTGTTATTTTGTTTTCGAATTTGTCATTGTGTTTTCTGACTTGTTATAATGTTTTCTGAATTGTTGTTGTGTTTTCTGAATTATTTTGTTTTTTAGACTTGCATTTGCGTTTATAATTTGTTATTTTGTTTTCAGAATTGTGATTTGTTTTGCACTTCTCGGCCACCGTACCAAACTGATTGAAATACTGCATTCTAATTTAACGCAACATTTTATATAATTGGGATTTTATACATGCATTATATATTATTGGTATAATTGAATGTAATGTAAGAATTTTTTAGTATTTGGTTTGTTGTAACATTACTATACTAGCTGCAATTTGAGCAACATGTTTTCCAGCATGAATTTAAGATTCGCAATTTGCTTATTTAATTAGCGACCTGAAATATTTTATTTAGTCACATTTTCTTTATAATAACAAAATTCAGAATCCATTAATTTTTTAGGGGAAAAAATATACAGATTTTTCAACTCCACTGCATGTAGAAAAAAACTCATGTTATTTCAGTTAAGCATATAGCAAAAAAAAAAAAAAAGATTTTATTCAAAAAGACAAAACATTTTTTAGAAGCACACTCCATGAATCCATCATTTTGTGAGCCATTTTCTTAATATTAGCATTTATTCTATCATCCTTGTTCAAAGAAAATCACCACTTTCATCTGTATTTTGTATTGTACAGTATATGGTCAGGTCTTGTACCTGTCCAGTGTTCCTCACATTCACAAAACTATCATTCACAAAATCCAGATATATAGATTTCGACTCCATATATGTTTTGATTGGTTCTTTCCTTGAGCTGTCATCTGATTGCCTTTTCTTAACACGTTTGACATGTTGTTTATTAATTCTGTAAGAGCTTAATCAGAGTTCGTCTCTCGGGCTGCTCTCAGAGATGGCCATTGGGCTCTTATCACCACGACTGCGGTCTCCACGGATGTGATGGCGGTCCCAGTCAGTGGCCACAGTCTCATCGTCCCAGATGGTGGAGGTCTCGGTGTCGCTGAAATACCCTGGTTCCCCAGTGTAGTGTGAGGGAAAGAGCAGCAGGGGTTGTACAGAGAAAGCCTTCAAGTTTCTCTGTTTAAAATGAGACATGTATTCCTCCCTACAGAAAGAATACTAGAGTTAGTTCAACTAAAATGCCGGTAACAGTTTAGTTTAGGGACCAGTTCTCACAGTTAACTAGTTGCTTATTAGCAAGCATATTACTAGAATATTGGCTGTTTATTAGTACTTATAAAGCACATATTAATT